ATGAAACATTTTCTTTGAATATAATTTATTGATTCCTTTTGGTAGAAGTTAAATAATTTTTAGCATCACCTCTTGCGAGCTGGAAGAAATAGAATCTTGATAGTTAGACAAAAGGATTTTTTACACCTGGCAGAGGATGATCAGCCACATATAGCTTATTAAGTAGCGAGAGCAGGAAGAGCCAAACTGCTGAGAGCAAACCATCAGTGTGGAGGGTAAATCGCAAACTCTGAGCTAAGCCGCACAAAGATACATTTCGGCAGAGGCACAGCTGAAAGGGCAGAGTTTTTTAGAGTTGAGCACACAGTACCGGATGATTCCAGATTATTTTCACCCCTGCCGCTTCAGCCACGGTCCATCTGTGGTCATGCAGAATGTAGATAAGTGTTGAGTGTTATCAGCTAGAGACACACAAAGACATACAACCATGCGCACACACTCTCACCTAAGGACAATAATAATGTAGAGAAGTCAATTAACCTAACAGCCATGTTTTTGGACTGTGGGAGGAAGCTGGAGTACCCAAAGAGAACCCATGCATTCACAGGGAGAACATGCAGACTCCATGCAGAAAGACTCTGGGCCAGGAATCGAACCCAGAAGGAATCGGAAAGGAAAAATAATATTGTTCTAATATAATAATGATATTATAATCATAAATACATTTTTGTAAGAGCTAATTCGGGGTTATTTCAACTTGTCAGAGGAAGACACCTGAGATTTGATTGACAATGTTTGACCCCACATGTTTACCATTATGACTATATATTCTAATAAAAATGTGTTGAATATCTTTCCCAAAGAATGTTGCAGCATGATTGGACACCAAGTAGAGGATGATGGAGACGAAGTTGGAGCAACTCCCACCTATAACACGAGTCCTGGTACAAGACAGAAAACATGGCTACCTCAACCCAACCTAGTAGGATTTTTCTGTGTTAGAGTCCATCGATGCAGAAATGAAACCACTGGCTGACTTTACATCATAGTGTCCTCAGGTAAGTCTGTGCTGGAACTGAATGAAAGTTAACCTCCCTTTCCAGGCCTTGATGACATTACACATGTTCTATATTCCTACATTTTATACCTTGGGTATCCTTAGTTTCCCTGATTGCTGCAGCTAGTGGTTCAATAAAGATAGTGAAAAGTGAGGGGAGAACAAACATCCTTGCATTGTAACCCTCTATTTTTAATTAATTAATGAAACATTTTCCAAAACTGAAAGCCTGCCCCTCTCCTCAGCTCTAACAGCATTCTGTTGAATGTCGGTGCCAGGATATTCCAGAATTTATTTCTAGAAATATGAAAAAAAATCCATCCCAGCATGGAGCCTTGTTATTGGGCGTTCTTTTGAGAGCTTCCTGGAGTTCAACAGTCAGCAGTGAATCCAGAGCGTTTGGTTTACTATGCAATAGTCTGACACTGTTGATTAACCTTGTTTTGTCTCAAAGCATGCTGGTCGGATAGTGAAGTCATCGGCAGAAATAAGAAATGTTAAATCTTAAAAACAAAAAATGGAGAAAACAAATCACAGCTTTGAATGAGCAAGTATGCACAAACCTTTCACTTCAAAAGTAGACCATATTGGTTTAATTTGGAGCTTAGTGGTGGGAGGATGACCTCGGAATGACCTAAAAAACAATCTTTAATATCTCTGAAACAAAAATAATAATTTTCACTGCACAAATCTGCACTAATGAAGCCAGTCCATCTGCCGAGTTTTTTCAGAGGGGTCGGGTGTTAGCTTCACAAAGCTGGTTTATCAGAGTTGAATCTATGCAAAAGAGGTGTTTTGTGCAAGATTTTAAAGCATGAGGGAAGCACAGTCTCAGTGCACATAGCGCAAATAACCTAGCAGATAGACAAAACTGTAGGGAAAAGCAGGGGTGTTTAACCCTCTCACAGGATCCGCCACATGTGCAACACCTAAATCTAACTGTTTTTCTTTTGCGGCTTTAAATTGTCCGTATTCATGTGGATCTCTATCAGGCTCAAATTGCACATTTATCTACTGTCATTCACTTTCTTATATTGTGGTAGTCAAGACCACAACAACAGAGAAAAATGAATGCCAAGAACAAGATCTCGATCCTGCCCTCGGCCTCTAAATATCTTGGCCTTGTCTCAGTCTCGGAATGCCTTGGTCTCGGTTGGTGTGCTCTTCACTACATTATTTTCTTACCTGTACAATATTATTGTATCATTTCCTCTCTGCAAAAACAACTATTTCTCTCTCATTTTTTTCTGGAAAGAGGAAAGGGGAGGGATCAGGCTAGACTTTCATCTGTCCTAACACACAGTCACTCAGGTATGCATTCACCTGACACATGACTGTGCAGAAGTCCTTTCAATAAACAATAAATAACATAAAGTTTAAAAAATATATATATTAAAAGTAAAAGAATGTAAAACTAAAGAAAATGTAAAGGTTGTTCTTTTGTTGAAGCAGAGATTTGTTCCTAAAATTCATCGATGAGGGGAGTGATCCTCTGGAAATCTTATTTAAAGAGCTCTAAAGGGCTTGCAGCCCACCTGTTTGCTTTTAGTTGTGTAAAAGTTTTACAGGTTTTAGAAGTTTAGTTGCATTATCAGGAAGTAAGGATTATCAGAAAAGTAAACTGGTATGATTATGAGACAAAGATTAAACTCTCTGTGTCAAGTTGCCATTATATTGCAGTTAGAAAAACAGCCAACAGATTTCCCTGAGAAACCAAACACATTCAGTTTCTTTAGTAGCTTTGATTGTTTTATTTTATTATCTGATACTGTAGTGAGATGTTAGAGATGGGAGTTTTGGTGATTCAGTCAGTTATTTTGAACATAAAACAGTTTTTAAGATGTTTCAACTGTGTTACTTTAAGAGCCCTCCTCTTCCTGGAATCAAAGCCTGATATCCCACCCTTTTCCTTTGCTCTCAAACATAGCTTGAAATTGGATGGAACCAACACGGAAGTAAAAGGTGATTGGCTGAAGCCTCTCTGTGCTGACACATGATCTGTAGATCAGAGCTCAAGCCTGTTTCTGTTTTCAGGAAATGAAACTTAGACAGTTGCTGCGACAGAGAAGAAATGGAGCAACAGGCAGTTCATCTGGACAAAGAAACCTTCTCCTGTTCAATCTGTCTGGATCTACTGATGGATCCAGTGGCCATTCCCTGTGGACACAGCTACTGCATGAGATGTATAATGGCACACTGGGATGAAGAGGATCTGAAAGGAATCCACAGCTGCCCTCAATGCAGAGAGACTTTCACACTGAGACCTGACCTCAAAAAGAACACAGTGTTAGCAGCTTTAGTCGAACAAATGAGGAAAACTGGACTACAAGCTGCTCCTCCTAAACCCGGTTATGCTGGACCTGAAGATGTGGCCTGTGATTTCTGCACTGGAGGAAAACTGAAAGCCATCAAGTCCTGTTTAGTC